AATTGTTGGCTTCCGCATGATGATCAATGGCAGGAATAATACATTTCTTCTTTTTATACAGAGTTGAAATCATATCACATCCACATCGTACTGCAGTGGTATTGACATGCATAAAAAAATTGTCAAAAATAACCTGAATTGGTTAATCCGAAGGGAGATATACTTAAACGCGATAACACCAGATCTGTTGTTCAAGACAGACAGTGAACAAATTAACGAACTCTGTTACGAAGTTCATTCACACCTTATTCATCTTATATATTCCAACTGATTGCCATCTGTTCAGAAATTAGAACTTCCTTTAAAGTAATTTTTTTAAAAACTGATTCTCCCAATAATACATCATCCTATAGACCAATTAGCCTACTCCCAATTCTTTCAAAAATTTTTGAAAAGATCCTCCTGAAAAGAATCCTACTCTTAATAGACTCCCGTAAAATCCCTACCCATCAATTCGGATTCCGTTCCCAACATTCTACCGTCCAACAAGGATTCCGAGTTGTTGACCACATATCCTCAGCCCTAGAAAACAAGCAGTTTTGCTCGAGTGCATTTCTGGACATAGCGCAAGCTTTTGACCGGGTGTGGCACGCCGGACTGCTCTTCAAGCTCAAATCCCATCTACCACAGTCCTTATACCTAATACTCCAATCCTACCTCTCCGACCGCTCCTTTCGAGTTCGCTGTGGTACAGAATTTTCCGCCTGTTATTCAATTGAGGCTGGAGTTCCTCAAGGCAGCGTCTTGGGTCCCATCCTTTACATCATCTATACCGCTGAAATTCCCGTCCATCCCGATACACTCCTGGCAACTTTCGCTGATGACACTGCGATCCTATCTTCTAACTCAGATCCTGAAACTGCGTCCAGAAACCTGCAACGGCACCTATCTTTGATTGAACACTGGTGCAAGAAATGTCGCATCAAGGTCAATGAATCCAAATGTAAATATATAACCTTCACCCTTCGTCGCAATTCCTGTCCACCAGTTTACTTTAATACCATCCAGCTTCCCTTCTGCGATACAGTCCGGTACCTTGGTTTTCTCCTAGACAGATTACTAACGTGGAATCCGCATACTAGACTGAAAAGACAGGAACTTAACCGACGTTATGGCCAGCTATATAGACTACTTAATAGAAAATCTAAACTTATTGAAAACAAACTACTGATCTACAAGACAATACTAAAACCCATGTGGACCTACGGACTAGAACTCTGGGAGACAACCAAATTTTCTAACATCAAACGCATTCAATCCTTCCAGTCCAAAGTTCTCCGTACAATAGTCGATGCTCCCTTTTATGTCTCTAATAAAACCCTGCACAATGACCTTAATATTCCATTTATTCTTGATCTTATTCCAGACAAATTCTCCAAATTTCATCAGAACCTTACCCATCACCCTAATCCCGTAGCACAATCCCTATCTAGCACCACTCATCCCTACAATCCTCCTGAAACGGCAGTGGCCCCGTGACCTTTTGTAACATGTATATACTGGAGTTCTGGCAATGGCCAGATTCTCCACTCAAGTCATGAGTGTCCGTGGTTGTAGCGCCCTTACTCTATCTCCGCTGGCTTTCAATGCCAGTGAAATGGTTGAGGAAGAAGCGCAGGGATCTCCTAAAGCCTTGCTTTCCCTCCACGTGTGGGGAGATAAGTATGGTTCGGAGTTCCTATGGCCGACTGTAAATAGTGTAATAGGTATACCTGCGTCTAAGATGTTTATTTTCATTTTTTTTTTCTCACTATGATATTTTATTTTGTTCTATTGTAGCTTTATATTATTTGAAGTTAGCTTATTTTTTTTTTTTTATATTTTTTAATTTGTAAATATGGTGTGAATGTGCTCTCAGAACTCTATTGTAAATGTCCTTTATTGAGACAGATTGTAACATTTATCAATAAAAAAAAAAAAAAAAAAAAAAAAAAAAAAAAAAAAAAAAAAAAAGCTGATTCTCCGTTCAAAAACGCATTTTCTGACTTAATTTCTCATCAAAAGATTTAATTTTTCAGTTCTGGGATTGAAAAGTAGGTAACATGTTGGAGAACATAAAAATATAAAATGAAGGTAAATGTTTTGAATAAAAATTCTTTGATTTCATCAGCTAACTTTCCTCTGAGACTAACATTTCATACGAAACGATCCAATATTTTATTAACTTATTAGAATTTATTTATTAGCAGATAACAACAGCTGATGAGCAAGGTTGTGTCTCCAACTCAGCTCTCATTATTTACTGCTTTTTGAGAAGATTCTCTGCTATTATTCACTTAAAACAGGTCAAGAATACATCAGAAAGTTGATATTTACTGTGCACAGTTATCAATATATAGTTTTTTTTTGTTTTTTGTTTTTTATTATTTACCATGAATATCACTAGTAGAGTGGCTAATAAGAGAACTAGGTCGTTAGGCCCGACACCTTCATCTTCTTCTCCTGCCAAATAAAAGCCTCGTAAATCTCGTCAAACACCTCCAGACACTGTTATCTCCGAAGACCATGAAATCCAGCCAGGTACATCACCACGGGAGAACATTGAAGAACCTCAGCCTCAACCAGGTACATCATCACAAGTAACAATTGAAGAATCCCCTTTTTTTACACACAACCCCTATGAGATGCTTTAGAATGACAGTGAGGTAATGAAGTCCGCACCGACACCAAGAGACCCCCGACCTCCACCGATATTCGATAAGAACATAAAACATTTTCAATTAATGTGTTCTCAACTAAACAGAATAGCAGGCTCCGGAAGCTACTCATGTCTAAGCAGAACAAATGACACCGAAATATCACCAGATACAGCTGAGACCTATAACAAAATTGTGAAGTACCTAACAGAGACAAAAGAAAATTTTCAACTGCGACAGGAGCGAGCTTTGAGAGTAGTTGTAAGAAACCTACACCACTCAACACCAACTGAAATATTAGAATAAGAACTAAAAACTTTAGGTTTCAAAGTGCGCCAAATAACAAATGTTCTAAAGGAGAGTAAGGAACAGCCAGGAGTAAAAATTCCTCTACCTCTTTTTTTTTTAGATCTGGAACTGACACTAGGGATCGAAAAGAATTACGCAGTTACAAGATTATATTACACAAGTGTAAAAGTGGAGAAGCCATGTCCTAGGAGGAATATCGTTCCTTGTACCTAGTCTTCCGATCCTACCTCTCTGACCGCTTCTTTCGAGTTCGCTGAGGAACAGAATTTTTCAATATCTACTCCGTTAAAGCCGGTGTTCCCCAAGGCAGCGTCTTGAGTCCCGTGCTTTACATCCTCTTTAATGCTGACATCCCTGTTCATCCCGATACTTTCCTTACAACATTCGCTGACGACACCGCAAACTTATCATCCAACTCTGATCCCCAAATAGCATCCTTAAATCTCCAAAGGCACCTCACCTTGATTGAGCACTGGTTTAATAACTGGCGCATTAAAGTTAATGAATCTAAATGCCAAAATATTACCTTTACACTCCGACGCAATTCCTGTCCACCAGTAAACTTTAATTCCATCCAGCTTCCTTATTCAGACACAGTCCGTTATCTTGGCTTTCATTTAGACTGAAGACTAACATGGAACCCACATACTAGACTCAAAAGACAAGAGCTCAACCGACGATACGGCCAGCTATACAGACTACTAAACAGAAAATCTAAACTTTATTTTGAAAACAAATTACTTATCTACAAGACAATCCTAAAACCTATATGGACATACGGACTTGAACTGTGGGGGACAGCAAAATTTTCTAACATCAAACGTATTCAATCCTTTCAATCTAGAGTCCTTCGAACAATAGTTGATTCTCCGTTCAATGTAACTAACAAAACCCTACACCATGACCTTAATATCCCATTTGTCCTAGACATCATCCCAGAAAAATTCTCCAAATTTCACCAGAACCTCTTATCCTCTTATCCTCTTAACCTCTTATCCAGAACCTATCATCCAAATTCCCTTGCACAATCTCTATCCAGCACCACCCATCCTTACAATCCTCCTCAAAGGTTGAAGCGGGAGTGGCCCAGAGACTAGTTGTAAGAATATATTGGAGTTCTGGTAATGGCCAGATTATCAACTCAAGCCATGTATGTCTGGTCATAGTGTCTCTGCTCAGCCTCCATTGGCAATACCAGTGATGCGGCTGAGTGAAAGATGCTGGGATCTCCTAGAGTTCTGCCTTTCCCTCCACTAGTGTGGAGAAAGGCTTGGCTCGGAGATCTTGAGTGAATGAATATTTTAAATATTGTATAGAATAATGTATGTTTTTAAGTATTTATTTTGTTAATTTGTTAGTTTATTTTTGTTTAGTGAAGTATCTTTTTGTTTATATACATTTACGTTTAGTTATTATTTTATTCCTGTTTATTAATTTTATTTGTTGTGCATAGTATGAATGAGCTACTATTTATCACTATTACCCTTGTCCTTGAATGTGTCAGATTGTAATATATCTCAATAAAGAAGAAATTTTATAAAATAAAAAAAAAATTAGCTGATAACATATGAATTCATAAATTTTCTTCATATCTTATTATAATATGTTACAAATCATTTTATTTGGTTGTTGTCTTGTCTCTTTTCAAGATTTTGACCGAAACGTTGACACAAAATTAGATAATTTATTTTTATTTGATTTTATCTCTGTAACAGTAACCCCCTACTAATTTTCCAACCATGTTATCTACGTTCAATTATTTCTCCACCATTATGAATTTTATATATACCGTATCATCATTTTTTTTTTTTTTTTTTTTTGTCGGTACAACGTAAGGAATGATACAATATATATTTAAATTATATTCCAAAGCTTCTTGTAAAGCAGAACAGGTTCCTAGAATAGTTAAATTACTAGAGAATAAAAATAAATCTCGAAGTGAACTAACGTAAGATCATTTGACTCCATGGCACAGTACTTTAGTTGACAGCTGTAGATTATGGTAAAGGTAAATAAATAGTAAAGGCGAAGAGAGGCCAAGCCTTTGAGGGTAGCATGGACCCTGTTGACACAGCCCTGCCTTTCAAGAAGCCTGCATTAGCACGTCCGAGCAATCTGTCAGCCTCCACTTCCTATATAGTTCTCAACACCGTCCATTTTATTTCAGGCTTTTGGGGGGAAATCGTGGAGTTATTCATTCGCTTCTTTGCTCAACAAAACATTCCCAAAATAAATTGTTCCCAATGATTCAACTTACCTTCCAAGTATCAATTTCGAGTACTTTTCCGATTTTTGCGGCTTATAAACGTCATTAAATAAAACTAGGGCGTATTTTTTTTCACAAAAACATTAGCTAACATTTTAGTAACAACCTTTTGCAAAGTTTTCTCTCTTTCTACATAATTGTGTTCAAATAATGTAGAAAGAGGGACTGTCTGCCGTATAGAGTCAATATAACTTCCATCCAATATTGAATCTATATTACTACTTCTATTGATTAGATAATTACCTATACATATATATGTATGTACCAAGGTCTATAATTTACCGAGGATAAAATTTATAGTAGAAGCCGTTTTGGAAATATAGTTTTGTCATGGAATAACGTAAATCTAAGTGATACAAGTAAACGTAATTTTATAAAATCAATATCCAGGTATCAACCCTCACACTTCCTGAAAACGTCATCATTTCGACATAATGGTTATATCTTTCTCATGGATTCGACTTCACAAAGACTTAGTTCAAAAACTAATAAAACCTCCATTTTTCACCGGATGTGGCACGCCGAGCTTCTTTCGAGTTCTATTTGTTACAGAATTTTCCAATGTCTATCTGGTTGAGGCAAGTGGTTTTCATGCTGATATTCCTATTCATCCAGAAACATTTCCTGTTGATACGACCATACTATTATCCCTCTCTGGCTCTGAAATAGCACTCCTAAACCTAGAAAGGCATCTTTCTATAATAGCGCAGTGGTGCAACAATTGGTGCATAAAAGTAAATGAACACAAATGCACCTTCGCTCTTTGATAACGACGGATCTTTCCGCGCATTTCATCTAAACTCCACACCGTATCGTTTCTCTTACATAATTTCATTAGCTAAACAGATGCAAGAAATGAAAATGAACCCAAGGTGACTTGACCATAGACCATATGTAACATAGTGGATTGTAATATGTTAACATAGAACCTTGTTCAAATCGTTCAAATAATATATAGTTCATAATTCCAGTTAATTAAAGAGGTGTAACAACATTTGTTGGTATCTTAATGATTTCATGTTAAGAATATGTAGTGGAAGCTACATCGATAGTTATTAACTTACATTTTATTTATCAAAAATGTAACATGGATTGTTATTCAGCCGAACCATTGATATTTTTTTGTTTTATTTTGCATTTGCTTGTTTCCAATTCATTTATAGTTCTCATTTGAACAGATAATTAGAGTTAAGAAAGTTTAATGTTCAAACCATTTTTTTTTTTATAATGAGTAAATTAAATCTTCTATTATAATAGAATTATCAATTAATCACAAAGAGGAAAAAAAGTTCAACTGATCGAATATGTTTTCAAATGTACTAATGTGTCACTCCACTGATGAGGAGGGGAAAATCTCATTATCACGCTATAAATAGGATTCCGAGAATGGCCGAGTTTAGCGGAATGTGGTCAAAGGTAACCAAGCTGTCTGGTAAAACGTGCGTGTATCCAGCGGGAGTTGATAGCAGCGATGTCATTAAAGCTAATTAATAAACCCGATTTCAACTTTTAAGGACCAGTTGGGATTAGGCGTGGGTGTTAGCCTGAACACATCAATCCTCAGCCATTCTCTGAATCCTATTAATAGAGTGATCATGAGATCTTGATCCACTCATCAAAGTGGAGTGATACTTGATCACCTTTTTACACCTTTTTTAAGTAGAAGAATCATTATTTTCAATTTACTTCTGAATTCGTCATATTAAAATTATTGTTGTTTAAGATATTAATATTAAACATGTTTATTTAGAAAATAATTTACTAACTGGCAGACTTATTAATTTTGATATTTTGATTGTTGTATGTAAGTAGCTGTGGAACTAAACAAAAACAAGCCTACTCCAGAGATAGGAGACGACTATGATGGACAAGAGGAAGAAGGAGGATCACAGGATTCTCTACGAGAGGAAAGTGGAGATGAAGAAAGACATGAAAACACAGGAAGAGATTCAAGAGCTGAAAGAACTCTATTACTGTCTCCGATTATATTTTTAATCAGTATTTTCCTAGCGACTAACTAATGTAAATAGTCCAATTAACTGCCATCCTCTCGACCTTGAGAGTTTGAATTGTAATTATATTCATAAATTGAAAGCTATTGGTAAAGAGTATCCAAGTTCGCACTCATTCTCGATGCAGATATTATTATTTTAATTTTGAAATATTTAATATGTATGTTAGCGTTTTACTCTAATGTTAAAAAAATATTACAAAGCACTTGGGAATGTCAAGAGAACGAACATAATTATTTAAAGATTAAAACATGATGAAATAACAAGTAATTAAAAAATAAATTAAGTATTAATTGTTAAAAAAATTTGTTGGGTTATTTATTTATAGAACAAAAATATCTCAAAAAAAGATGTGAAAAATAATAAAAGCAATGTCGTGCATACCACAAGAAATAAATATCTTTCATAAAAATAAATGAGGAATTTTTTTCTAAAGATGAAAATTTTTCTGATAACAGTTCTTAAAAATTTAATTTGGTCTCTTAGTGAACAAGTGGTTTAATCAACAAAATTCACTTAACATATGGAAACAGTCTTAATAATTTAGAAACAAATCAAATCGCATATACTTTGTTTTAGTACATACTCATCAATAATTAACTAGATATTTAAAAATATATCTGAATTTATAAATCTTTTGAGAAAATTATATTTAATTCAGGTTTAATTACTTTGTTTACACTAAAAGTAAATAAATTGAAATATTTTAGTATTCTAATTAAAAATAAATGAATACAGACTCTCCGGTTATAAGGTAAACTAAATTATGTTACTCGTTACTTGCTAGTATGGGTAATTTTTTTCTGAAATATATTTCATTTGACATTACTAACATTTGTAATTAAACACTAATTAATCATTACAAATTAAAATATCTAATTTTCAATTCAGCTTCAAATAGAATGGTATTAATTGGAAGTACAAATTACGTACTGACTTCATTATACAAAGTATAAATAAAAAATTGTAAATATTATTATTAATGTTTTTAACATCTTTCAAGACCTGAGTAGTCTCTTCAGTAGTGTTAATCTTGGATTATTATAATTTTTACCAACATAATTCTTTTAAATGTCTCTATGAGTAATTTGTACCTAAACAAGCCTTGTCAAAGACATTGAAAAACTTTACCTTCAGGTTTAATATTTTAAAAAAGAAAATTAATATTGCTAACATTTTTACAAAACATTCCTTAATAAATATTAGTCAGATACTGAAAAGTTGGGATCATAGGTAAAAATTTCCTATATCATGACTGGGGATTTAAAAATACAAAAAGGGTCTATTATAATTTATGATTATATATAACTCGGTAAACAAACAGATGTTCCAGAATAAACTAATAATTGTCCCCATTTAATCCATAAATTGTTTAAAAGACTAATTAAAGAAAAGAAAATGACTATTTAAATACATTAAATACAATTTTGTATTAAATATTGTTTAATAAGGATGGTAAAATAATGTTTACCAACAGCTGAACAACAATGAGTTGGCATTTTGTGGGTGAGCACATGTGGCACCAAGTTAAGATTAACTTTTTATATTTTCTCTCATTATCCAATATTACTTACAAAATATTTACAAATTTATTGATTATTACAAAATTCAAAATGTCCACAGGTGTCACATAATTTCACCTTCTTCCAGTGAATTAATAGTGGTCAAACTGTACTTATTTATTTTAAATATTAAAAATTATCATTATTTTATTAATTAACAATTATATTATATTGAGAAGTGGCTAACCCTATCTCACTTTGAACCTTGCTGGTTATTATTTTTACTGTCCATCAATGTATCCTGATGCCCTAAAGGAAAACCCATTAGATCTTTGAAATTTGTTTTATTTATGTTTTCAGGTATAAATTATTCAACAATTTTATTTTTAACAAATTTCAACAAAAGAGAACTGTTAACTCATTTATTACTTTATGCACTATTGGATTAATTAGTTATTTCATTGTTTAGTGAGGTACAAATCCAAAACAGTACAAAATATCCTCATTATAAAGAACACACTGTCTTTGATATCCTACTAGCACAGAAGAAGATGCATTGCTAATAAGATTTTTGGGTCAATTGTGCTTTAACAGCTGTTTTCACTGCCTTATTATGCCAAGAAAATTTTTTAATCATCATTAAATTATCCATTCTGCCTATTGCAGGCAAAGGTGTGGGCAGTAACTGAGAAAAATTTCAGTAAACTTTTAATCCAAGCTGGCTAACAGAACAAAATGTGATCATTTTTGAGAACTCTTTATAAAATTATTTGCTTAAAGATATCACTAAGCTTGATTTAAAATAATGGTCCATATTGTCATCAGTCTATTTTTATGCTACAAAGAGGAATGTAGAGGTTATAAATTTTGACTGACTTTCTCAAGCTCCAATAGATTTTATCTGAAGGATAAACCCTTGTCTGCTTCAACTGGAGTAAATAAGGGCACGAATCCATAAAAAAATCAGTCTATTTTACATACAAAAACATTCAATATTATATTTTTCAGATATAATTTTAAAATATTTGTTTAAAAAAATTCAAATTTCGTCAACAAATTTTTGAACGTCATAAGTTTTAGAGAAAAGCCATCATATTGAATAAAATAATAAACAAAAAGATATGGGTGGAGATTGAGAACAAGAAAGCTTGGAAAGATTTAATAAATAAGCTTTCAATCCACAATGTCCTTATCAGTGCTAAAAAAGATACAAATAAAGTGAAACTACTGTTGGAGTGTGAAACTGACATAAAAACCCACATTAATAGTAATATGGATAAAAATACCTAATGAAGTAAGGAATGATGTATAAAAGTAACGGCAAAAATATTTATAAATAAGATGTGTAACCAGTTACCGTGAAAAAGTAATAATTGATAAAGAAATGAATATGTTCATCACTTAATAAAAAAAATTTATTATTTAATATGTTATTATTAATCGCCAGCCAGAACATCTCCTAAATTTGCCATACGCTCAACCATCAACATATAATATAAAACATTAATACAGTTTTATTAAAATTAAATCAATCTAAACAATTGACAAAAATTAATCATTAGTGTATAAAAACATAACAAGGTAGAAAACAATGTGAATTTTTAGTAATAAATAAGTATTATTATCCTATTTAACTTATTGGGAAAAAATAAGTGTATTACGTATTACAGTGAAACTGTAACTAAAATTTAATTAATTCATGTCAAAATAAATTAATAGCTTATAATTGTATTGTATAAAAAAATAAATTAATGACAATAAAATAAATTTGTACTTAAATGTGAAAAAAGGGAAAATTATTTGTATATAGAGAAATATAACAAATAAATTCCAAATAGCAACTAATGAAAAAAACTATCAAATAATTAATTTCATACACCTCCCAGTTTAATTTAACTCTTAGTTGCTAAATTACATTCCTAAGATGAAAAATTTTAGTGTGAAAGTTTTTTGTGGTGTCCATATAATTAATGTAAATTATAAAGCAAAGTTATAGCTCTAATTATTTGACCAGTTATCAATAATTGTATTGAAGATAAGATATTAAATAAATAAACGAGAAAGTAAGAAATTAAACTGAGAAAATTCATGAAAATGAAATCCATAAAGTAAGAACATTATACATGCATAACATTGTTAAGAGTTGGTTGATATATGAGGCTATAAAACTTAGGCTGTTATAGGTTCTAAGAAAAAAATAAAAAATATTGCATATCAAAATTGAGTGAACTAATCTCACATGCATATCTTGTTTAGTATGTAAACCTTTATTTTCACTACATATTGTTGCTTTTTAATTAATGTAGTTTTAAAAATATCTTATAAATTAAAGATGTTTGTGGAAATCCTTTCATTTGAAGCAATAGACTGGAGTTGATTACATTATAAAATATTAAATTAAGAATGTTTCTTTCAATAAATCCTTTATTTTAATATTTAAACTATAAAAAAATGCAAAGAGTTCACTAATTGGTTCTGAAACAATATCTTTGAATAATGTTATTGTACACATTGAACTAATTAAAGAGATAAATTACTCTATTCTAATAGAGTTCATTTTAAATATCACATGAAAATTGTAATCGAACTTCAAGGCCTGTAAAATGTAATTAAATTATATATTTTTTAATTATTATTTTGCATACCATGTGACCGTAAATGTATTAGTGCATTGTCAGTAAGTTGTAGATTAGTTTTAGGTCAAGTGTCCAACCATTTAAATCTGATTATGATTAAAATTCAGTCATAAGAAAAAGTAATATAAAGTTCACTAACAAAAATTATGAAAAAAGCTAATGAATGTAGGAAAAAGGAAATAATGTAGTCAGTTTTAGTTTTAGGATTGGCCTGAATAATGCAATGAAGTTTCAGATATTCTTAAATGAACAATAGATAAATACATTATATATTTATTTTAATTGATTTACTATAAATTTGAATAATTAAAAATGATAACCTTATGAAGTTCTCCTGGAATGTTGACAATATTTATATGAACCATTACAATATTGTATATGAAGCATTTGCTCACAGTTGTTCTTGCTGGTATCGTTAAAGTAAAACATTTGGATTTGAAAATTTTCAGGATTGCTAATACTTTCACTTACGATATATTTCATATATAGATAACTGAAGTAAAAATAAAAAAATGAATAAAGGCTTAATAAAAGTGTGCTATTTTTTAACAAGAAGAATAAAGTTTACTTTTATCTTCAAAAAGTATAAAAAAATTACCCCATTAATCAAATTAATATTATTTAAAATATATTTACATATTAATTAATTATTCCCAAATTGAAATCTCCTAAATTAAATTTATGAAAATATGGTCCCTGTAATATTTTGAACATTTTTCAATAATTTACCTTTTTGTTCAAAATCAAAATAACTAGAAATGAGTAACTCAAATCATGAAATACACTTTTATTTAAATGCATATATAGGTATTATGAGATTTCTATGGTTGGTCACATTGCTTTTAACTACACTGATATATACCAAAAATTAGCTTTGAAATATTGGTTTGACATACTGAATTTAACATTTGTCTGTAGTACACTTAGATTTAAGGAAGAATTATTGTTCTGACATTAATTCAAATTTTTATT